AGGCCACACAGCACCATCTCTGCCTGCCCTCCTCCAGAGACATAATGGGATTGTCTAGACTCCAAAGCCCTATGTTCTGCTCTAGGCCCAACAGCGGGGAGGGTCTGCTGCTCTTCTGAGGCCTGGTTAGGCCCTCAGTTTTCCTCCTGGGACATAAGTGTGAGGAACGCCTGGCTGCAGAAGCCTAGAAGCAGCTGGAGGACAAGGACAGTCTTTGTCCTCTTGCCTGCAGCTAAGTTCAAGCCAGTACTGGGGTTAGGGTCTCCAGAATCTGGGAGAGTCCAGGGAGCCAGGCAGGAGAGTGCTAGGCCAGCATGCAGCTGTGTGTCTACCATGGACCCAAACCTCCTCCAGGGTATGGTGGTGCTGCTTGGATTGCATTAATGCCAGTTGTGTCAGTGGTCTGCTGTGTCTTCTGTCCATTGCAGTATAATAAGCCATAATGAAAAGGGATCTAGAGTGTGAAGGTATGGCTCAGTGGGAAAGTACTTGCCTGGCATGTATGAAGCCCTGGTTCAATTCCCAGCCCTGCAAAAGGAATGTGGGAAGGAAGGGAGGGAGGGAGGGAGAAAGGAAGGAGGGAAGGCAGGCAGGCAGGCAGGCAGGAAGGAAGGAAGGAAAGAAGGAAGGAAGACAGGCAGGCAAAAAAAGAAAAAAGAGAGAATCACCATGTATGGATCAAGCACTTTCTAAAAGTCAGATCTTATACATTTAAAACCTCATTTGCATCACTTCATATGTGCCTCACAGAATGAGGAAACAGAGGCAGGAAGATTAAAGTACGTGGCCATGGTCATGATGCATATAAGCTGCTGATGTGGGGCTCCGACCCAGGCCTCTTTCTAAAAACCTGCACTTTCCAGCCTCGTTCTGTCCGTACATACCCACCAAGCTTGTCTTAACCAGCCTTTAAGAAAGAGGCGCTGACTCGAAAGCGTGAGGGGTTTGCTAAGGGCCACAGTATGTTAGTGACCCAGAGGGAACACAACCCCTGGCCTCCATGTTCTGCCCGGAATCTACATCTTGCCCTGCCCATCCCCAGGGTGCAGTGCTGATTCCAGGCGCTGGGCTTCTCAGGCCTCAGTAGGCCAGGCCACCGGCCAGGCCAGCACTCTCCTCTTCCCTTCAGCTTCCCTTTCCTAGCTTCCCTCCTTTTTGAGGGCCCCTCCCAGCCCCCCACCTCGCTGCTTTCCCGCCAGTAATTGCTTCCATCTGCCCCTCCTGCCGGCTCCTATTCCTTTGGAAATGCGGTTCCTGGGCCGCCCACATGGCTGCAAAGACCTCATCCGGCAGCCAGAGCAACACGTGGAGAAGGGGAGGGGCCCTTCTGGGGTCTGAGCATGAGAAGCAGCCAAGGTGGCTGCCTCCTGGTTCTTGGTGTTCCCAGATGGCCGCAGGTAGACACACCTTGGCTACCTGGCATTCGGGGATGGTGCATTCTGGGCTGACTCAAGGGCACACAATCGCCCCTAAAGATCCCATTCTCCTTCCAGGGAATGCCACCTCTGCCCTGCACACATGCTAGACACCCACAACCCTCTCTGTCCTTTTGAGGTTGTGCTTGTCAGGAGGAGGGGGTGTCTGAGGGGAGAGAACTAGGGACCACACTCTGGGTTTCTGGCATTTGGGGACTGTTTGTGGCAGAGCCGGAAGGATCCTTGGAAATCTGGGCTTGGGGGAATGGACACGGGACCAGAGAGAGGAAGGCTCATATTTCACCTTGACTTAAAATTTGCATATTCTAATAGGGCATTGACATGGTTAATTCCTCTTAGAATTCTAATGGGTGGAAAGAGATAGTAGCAGGACTTCAAGATGGCCATCTCCTGGATTCTGCATGTGGAGGAGGCAAGTTCCCTGTTCATGGTCATTGAGGACCTTGGACATACACTGGTGACCTTGACCAGGACCTTGACCTTGATCAGGTGAAGCATGTTGATGGTGTGAAATAGATCTGAACACTTCAGGCATTCTCCTTGAGATTTTAGGATTTTAATATAAACTGAAGGAATTTAGGCTGCCTTGTCCCCTGTTCTCTTCTCATTACCTTGAATGATGACTAGCAAATAATAGGTACTCATTAAATATTTGTTTGATGAATGACTGGAAAATGTAGCTTGGGTTTTTCTAACTTTGTCTTTCTGCTCTCCTGGCCCCATTTCCTCCTTTCTTGAGAGCCAAAGGAAAAAAGAATTGCCCTCTTTCCAGGTGAGCTGTTGGGTAGAAAACAGCCTGAACCCAGCCTGGCCCCAGAGTGAACGGCCACTTCCGAGGGCTTTATTCAGATACCAAAGAGGCAGGCAGGAATCCAGATGGCATTGGGTAGGAGCCGATCCCCAGAGAAAGGATGTCTCCTCCCTCCCACCTCAGCTTGAATTTCTGTACCGATCCCTTTGCCCACCCTTTTTAGTGACCTTGAGGTCCTCCAATCACTAGCTGTACCTGCCACATTCATTTCCTTTAACCAAATCCTGGCTACACAGGCAGCTGAGATCTAGAGATCTGTAGTTTGAAGCCGTGCCAGGTCGCAAGTCTCTGCAACTCCTACCTCCAATTAATCACCAAAAAGCTGAAGAGGAGTTATGGGTCAAGTGGTAGAGTGCCAGCAGGAGCAAAACAAAAAAGCTAAAGAACAGCACCTCGGCCCTGAGTTCAGTCCCCAGTGCTGGGGTGGTGCATGTGTATGTATAGGCACACAAAACTACTCACCACCAACAAAAAACTCCACTTTTAGTCTTTCTACATATTTGCTTTCTATTTAAAATTTTTTGAAATTGGATCAGAGGATTTTATTGGCTTAATTTTTTCCCCCTAAACCCTTATTGGAGTCTGCTAAATTTGCGCGCACTCTCTCTCTCTCTCTCCCTATTTTTGATACCATGTCCCATGTGTTTTTACTTCCTGAACTTGGCTTGGGCATCTTTGATAACAGCCATTGTATTCTTCACATTATGTCCAACTTCTGCTCTGTGAGCGCTTCCCAACTTTCTCCACTTGGCACGGTCCCCCGTTCCACTGATAGGGAGAAGACTATGGGCCTCGTGGGTCTAGAGTAGAACTCTGCCCCCTACATGCTGAACCAAAGGTCCTGAAGCAGAGTTCTCCAGGGAGCTAGGGGAGCCTGAAGATTTGTATCCCTGGAGGCAGACTCTCAGCCAGCTTGCCTTTGTTAGCTTTGTTTACTCCTCCAAGAAATTAACACTTCTTAATGAGATAGCATTTCAGATAACATTCACTACCTGGAAACTGGTACTCTATAAATGCTGGCTGGGCTTCTCTTATTCATGGGTGGGGCTCAGAGACTAAAGACATCTTTTTTTTTTTTTTTGGCCTAGGGAAAGTGGAGTAGTTTAGCTTGGCAGCTTTTTTGTCCAACCTTATGCAGGACTTGAGTTTGATTGGTTCTCAATCAGCACACCTGTGCCTGGAATACAGATAATAAATATTTGTCCCACCAATAGAGGATAGAGATGCACAGGAAATAAACATTTTCAACCTGAGAGGGACAGTAGAGGTGGGCATCAGTTAACTCACTGGACCACAGGGCAGGACTTGAAATTGTCTCATTCTCCAGCACTTAGTATTACAGTAGCTATTTCATAAATATTTCTTTCTGCAAAGGATAGAGTGATAGCACAGATTTACTAACTTGTTCTTCCTCTCACTTGGCAAGAAGGCAGCAGCCCACTCCCTGGTTTGGTTAAAACTTAACCATGTTTACCTTGACCCCTAACTCATCCTTTTTTTTTTTTTTTTCCTGGTCCTGGGGTTGAACTCAGAGCCTGGGTACTGTCCCTAAACTTCTTTTGCTCAAGGCTAGCTCTCTACTACTTGAGCCACAGCCCAACTTCCAGCTTTTTCTGAGTAGTTTATTGAAGATAAGAGTCTCACAGGTTTCCCTGCCAGGGCTGGCTTCAAACCATGATCCTCCCATCTCAGCCTCCGGAGTAGCTAGGGTTACAGGTGAACCACTGGCTCCCGGCTCATACTTCCCCCCTTGCCTCCTCTTTTAAGCAATTTGGTTCTCCAGATCCTGGGTTGTTGAAGTGGCATGACGAGTCCCAGGACTTGGTGGATTAACACCGAGTGCACTGGTCTAGATAGGACTGTCTGTGTCCACTTGAACTGAGAGGCAGACTCCAGGGGTTGGAGAAAAGGATTGGTGGAGTTGGGAAACTGCCCTATCTGGCAATGTTGGCCCTTCTCTCCTCATTTTCTCCCTTCTTTCTTCTCCTTTTCTTCCTTTCCCCCATCCCCACCAGGCCTGAGCATTTAGGTTGTCCTTAGGGAGTCTGGATTGGATTCCCTGGACAGTTGGGGTGCTCAGGAGAGCCTTCATTGAGAGCCCAAAGTACCCCACATGCCAGCAGCTCTGATATATTTTTTTTTTTTGGTCAGTCGTGGGGCTTGAACTCTGGGCCTGGGCGCTGTCCCTCAGCTCTTCAGCTCAAGGCGAGCGCTCTACCACTTGAGCTACAGTGCC